TGCCAACGCTTCACTCCATGGCAGTGTGTGGAACTTGGTGGGGAGGTACACAGGACCAGCTAGGAGGCTGGCAGGCATCAGCTGAGTTCCATGAGGGGCAATGTGGATTCTGAAGGTCAGGGAGGTACAGCAGCAACAGGGCCCACCTTCAGGGCAGCTTCTTTCTTGGCCTGGGGAGCTTGGAGAAGGGCCACGGCTTCATCTCCTTGTAGTGCATAGATCTGGGGGACTCAGGAATATGGACTGAGCTACAGTCCAGGAATCTTACCCACAGGGGTATTGCATTCACTGGATGAGCAGGAACAAACTTTGTCCCAGTGCCTACTTCTGTCCTGGAGGGCAGTGCCACGGCCAGCAGAGACAGGGTCAGGGGCTCCTGCCCCTGCACATCTCCAGAGGCTGTAGCAGAGGAAGAGGGATGTGGACACTGCAGGCACAGTTGGGATGGTGCAAACAGCCCCAGGAGATACTAGGTTCTACATCCCAGTGCAAATACCTCCAACTGGCAGCTTCAGCCAAACCTTGCACTAGCCACCCACAGTCCACAGCTGAGCAGTCTGGGCAGACACCCTCTTACTCTACTCAGGATCTGCACCCAGTGCCAGGAACTACATGCATGGATGCCCCTAGACAGCAACACCCCAGTCTAGGCACTACTGCTCCCCAACCAACCACACCAGATGAGGATACAATACCTCCTCATGGCCTTTCATTGAAACTGCTTATGAAGGAGAGGGAAAGAGAGGACAGGGGAGGGGAGGACAAGGGAAGAAAGAGGAGGGGAGGACAGGGGAGACAGGGGAGAAGAGGGGAGGGAAGGGAAGGGAAGGAAATGAAAGGGAAGGGAAAGGACAGGAGAGAAAAAAGAGGAGGAAGGAGGGGGATCTGAAAAAGGTAGAGGGCTCCAGAAAGAGCTACACTGATTTCCTTACATTATGGAGAACATAGGAATCAAATCATCTACATTAATGCTAATCTCACACAGAACACTCTAATTCTGCATCTGAAAACGAAAGAGGTTTTACTTCTTACTCTTTCTCTTAATTATTATTATTTGACCTTGTTGCTAAGGCAAATTCATACTTTCATGTGCACAAACTGTGAGGAAAAACCAAGAGAGATTTCTCTAGGTTATGTGTCAAAATTACTTGCAGAGCTGGGATAAAACACCTCCAATCTATTGCCATCTTGTCTCAGTAGCACAGCCTGGCCAGCTCCTGCCTTGTGTTTAGAAGTTGTATAGCCAGTGCCTAGACAGTGTCATTTACTGGCAAGAAAGGTTCCCTTTGAGTTGTCCCCTCTGAGCTCCCTCCCTCTAGAGGCTGTAAAACACACATGGCTGTGGCTCCTCTAGGAAAGTAAACACACACACACACACACACACACTCTGGGATGCAGCCTGCAGTAAGTCTGCATTTGCATGCACATCTATAGCCTGGAGAACAGCAGGCTTGAAAGAGAGAGATCTTCAAACTTCTCCTGTTCATGAGGCTTGCAACACCTTGCTAAGCCCCACCTTATTAAAACCCACATTAGGCCATGTACTGTGAAAGAGATGGTGCTAAGCCAGGCAGATAGATAGCCAGGCAGTCCCTATCCCAGTGGGGCATCCCAAGAGAACATGAGTGTCATGACACCAGGACCACTGACAGAATGCATCAAACAGCAGCCAGCCTGGGAAAGTTCCTGAAGAACTGCAGGAAACAGGGCCCCTTCAGTGACAGTGTGTGGGAGAAGGGGGATGGGCAGCACAGTGCTCCAGGCAGAGGGAAAGGAATGTACCCAGACTCTACAAGTACCATGGGAGGAGAGCAAACAAGCAGGAGGCCTAGCCAGAGATGAAACAAGGACACAAGCAAGGAGGGGCCTGGTCCTAGAGGGCCTTGGAGCCACGATAAGAAGTGTGGATTTTATACAAACAGCAATAAAAACATCTTACTCTTTATATACTGTTTATTTAAGGTGGCTCACTGAGACTTGTTTTTCTTGCTCCCTAGTGTTGAAGAAGCAAAATGAAATTTACAAACGGCAAGGGAATCTTTGCCCCTTTCCATAAAGAACAGTCTGTAGCTCCCACCTCCATCTCTCAAGCATACTTTTTACTTCCCTCAACTATGATAAAATATTTATGTGCTGGGTCATTACCGATTCCAATGTACACAAATATTGATTGTGTCCTTATTTAAAAGTTCTAATTGCTTGCTGACCTAATACTGCTTGATACCAAGGCCCATGCTTCCCCCTAACATTATTCCCGGCAGGTGTGCAGTCACAATCTCCCAGGAGTCTGAATATTTGGTGACACAACCACTGCAGTGGGATGTGCACGGAGGATCCAGTCACCACTCTGCCTGGTTCCCAACACCGACAGGGGCGCTGCCCTCGTCTCTGGAAACTCCCTCTCCCTCATCCAGATTTTCCTGCACTCTGGCAGGGAGCAGCCTGTCTTTAGGGAGGAAGACAATACCCCTGCCCCACACTGCCTCCTAGGTGGGCCTCCCCTTTTCTTTCAAGGACATCTGGCCTAATTAATGCCAGCAGCACCAAGTAAGAACAACAGCACAGGTGTCAACCAGAGTCTAAGAAAGTAGGAGCAGATTCTGGGAAACCCTGGTGTTTCAGGTGGTTCTGGAGCACACAAGGCGAGTGTGCCTGGGCAGTTACAGATGAGAGACGCTGCATCCACGGCATGGCCACCTTGAGTCACAGTGGAAGGCAGACCCCCAGAAGAAATCCTGAGCCCTCCTCCCTGATGAATGCCGCAGTATGAATGTGTACCCGCAACCCCACGTTCACTGGAAATCAATGCCTCCTGGGATGTATCTGCAAGTTGGCGCTTTACCAAGCGGTATCTGCAAGTCAGCCATGATGGATGAGTCCTCAAGAATGACATGTGCGTCACCAGTAAAAGACCTGAGAAAGATCTCGGGTCTTCCCCACGTGGACGCTCAGTGAAGACGGCCGTCCATGCAGCAGGAAAGGGGCCTTCACCAGACCCCAGGTCACCCTGAGCTATGACCCAGCACTTGCCAGCCTCCAGACCTGTGAGAGGTACGCTGCTGTTGCAAAGCCACGTGCCCATGGCAGCTTGCGCTAGCAGAGGAAACAGACTGAGGCAAAGAGGAAGGCCCGCCATCGGTGACACAGTGACAGATGCACCACTGCAGAGACCCTGAGCAGCAGCCCAGGGAGGGCTCCTGGTCCACACGCTGAGCTCCTCCCTGCCATGACCAGACCCGCTGTCCCTCTGAGAGCACTGCTGTCACACGGGGCTGCAGGGGCTGCCTGCTCCCTGGCCAGCGAGTTGGTCTCCCCCTAGGACCAGGGCCCATGGGGAGCTGCCTTGTCCTCCTCCTGGCAGTCCCAGAGGTCTCCCCTCCTTGAAGCCAACCCTCCTTGGCACAGAACTCCTTTCCTTCTCCTCTCCCCACTGAGGGGCTCCTGGGCAGAGTTTCGGGGACACTGGGCATGGAAGGGGACAGGCTGAATGCATGGCCTGCCTGGTTCCCAGCTCTGCTGGTGGGGCTCCCCCAGGCACAGACAAGATGAGGCATAAGGTCCGTGGGTCAGATCTCCTAGGGCGCCTGCACACTAAGGGCCTGGGCAGCGTTAAGAGCTGGGCCTCCAGCATCACGTTTCTCTACCACTGCCTGACTGCTGTGACCATGGGCAGCTTCTGGGATCTGCCCTCAGCTTCTCTTTCCAGTGGGTTCACGGAGAGCCCATCTCACGGAGTCACTGGAGGATGCAAAAAAATCTCCCAAGACCTGTAGTCTCCCCTCTTTGCACACATAGTCCTCTCTCCAGCTGCTCAGCAGGCCCATGACTGGGCGTCCTGCCTGTCTCCAGGAAGAGGCGCCCAACATTCCCCGGACAACCTGAAAGTGTTCCAACAGGTCCCGCACAGTTGTTGCGTGGCTCGGGGATGCGCCTACCCACAGTGCCCAGTGGTGGACATCATGTTTAGAGTAGGTCAACACCTGAGATTTGCATGAATGTGCCTATGTGTTGGACTCTGGGACTCTGGAGGTGTGGTCTTTGCTTAGTGGGCTCTGGGGTGAACATGGCAGTGTTTGTGGGCTCGGCCAAGCCTCTATTTCCCAGTGTCTGGAATCACTGGGCTCTCTGGGGAAGGAGACAAGATAGCTCCAATCCTGAGAGTGGAAGCCTAGTGATTCCCACAGCCTACCTGGGGAATGAGAAGATTGGCTTAGAGTGGTAAGCAGTGGCATCACCTTGGCTTCCCGTGTTTTTTCTCTGGGCAACCTGCACCCTACTTTTTGCAGTGTGGAATTCAGTTCCACAAGAGCACCTGGACCTCTGTGTGGGCAGAGAGAAGGCTCTAAGCACCTCCAAAGCTGCAAAATGCAGGCAGAGACCAGTGGTGGGTGGAAGAGAAAAGAAGGGGAGTGGGAGCAAGGGGCAGACTTGCAGCAAACAGCAGATCAAGCCAAGCCAATGGCGACAGCAGCAGAGATGGCACCAAATTCCCTGTGGCCAAAAACCAGCCACAGTTGACAGAAGCCTCATTAGCATTTCCCCAGAGGCAGAGGCTGGGATAAGAGTAGGGGTTCAGAGTCACTGCGATCCTGATGGCCACAGCATCTCTGAATGGCTATGGTAGTTGCTGCCTTCCCTGCCTTTCTGTCCCCTCCCCTGTCCCACCCTCACCTCCATGTGGGGCTCCATGGTCACCCAACTCTGTGCACCTTGTCCCTTTTTGGAGGTGGATAAAAAGTGTATGAGGAAATATGGGACACAGGTACCAACTGCCATCTCTAGCCTTTAAATCTCCAGCCCCAAAGAATTGGCACACAGCGAGTTCAGACACAGACAGGATCATACATCCCAGCTGTAGGGAAGGCTTCTGATCCACTGCAGCACTGAGTACGCTGTGTTCCAGAGGGCTCCGGATCCCAAGCCTACCTTCTGTCCCCTGCTCCTAAACTCTACTCCCTACCCTCAGCCTTGCGATAGTGATCCAGCAACCAGGAGGCAAGATGCCAACCCACTTGATGCAGGAGGTGAGCTTCCCAGCACCCATCCCAAATTTGGAAGTAACTGGTGGGTCTGGGACTTGCAGGTGACCGGGGTGGGGGGCACAGCCCAGAGCCATCTGTCCCGAGGTGTACTGGCATCAGCTGCTTGCAGATATGGGTTCAACTCTGGGGGCTTGAATCCCCAACCTTTGATTCTTAAACTTTAAATCAAGAAAGACGCAGTCCTGCAGGTAACTGTGTACCTGCGACTTTTCCTCAGTGTGTCCTTGGGGTGCGAGTGCTTCACCCCTCCTTCCTTCCTCCTTCACCTCCAGGTTTCACCCCGATTCCTCTGTACAGTTCCTGGGAACTTCTGCCTCCTGCACGCGCACAGCACCCACTTTCCCCTCCCCCCTCTCCCCTGCCGCATTAGAGTGAAGTGGCCTCTGCTGCTTCCACTGTCTCCTGCTCTGACCCTCTTCCTCTTCCCCTCCTGGCTAGGTCTCTGGCTCCTACACCCCCACCACCACCGTCACCACACCCCACTCCAGGCTCCTGCAGAGTGGACAGGGCAAGTTGGAGAAGACGCCCCTACCGGCGGAAGAAGACATCCGCCCTGAAATGAAAGATGACATCTACGACCCCAGCTACCAGGACGAGGAGGGCCCCAGGCCCAAGCTGGAGTTCGTCTGGAGGAACATCATCCTCATGGCTCTGCTGCACGTGGGAGCCCTGTACGGGATCACCCTGGTTCCCACCTGCAAGTTCCGCACCTGGCTCTGGGGTAAGCAGCGTCCCTGCCCTCCTGAGCCTGCGTCCAGGCTTCTCACTGCTCTCAAGTGAGGCAGGATCCCTGGGTTTTCCCAACCAGTTCTCCGCAGTTGGCTGAGAGCCTGACTGGGCTGGGAATGGAATCCAGGAGGGCCGATGGGATGCAGTGGGTCAGTTCTGGGGGTCCTTTAACTTGGGTTTTCAGGAGGGAGCCCTGAGACCATGTGCCACGTGACTGAAGAGTGGACCTGTGCCAGAGTCAGCTGTCCCTGAGAGCTTCTCTGAGTCATTTGCTTGATTCCTGTGCCAACCCTGCCAGCCACAAGACAATCAGGACCCCGACCTGGGAGGCCCGGGAGCCTGGTGGAGACCAGGGTCCTCATGGTGTATGAGGAGCTCACTCAGGAGAGGGAGCAGGGGGAAGCTGCTCAGGAAGAGTTCAGTGTAAAGGAGGCAAGGCGAGGTTGTTACCCAGGGAACTATTTCAGTCTTCTCTCCTGGCCAGACCAGGCTGTTATGCAATAGAAAAGGATGAAGAAGGTTTTTGTATAAGACAAAGTACACAGATGTGTTGCACTATTGCTCCATGCCAGGTTCTAGTGTACTGTGTATCATTCAACAAAATGCCGAGACTGAAAAGAGACCTATTTCATGTCCTGTTTCCCATCAGGCCCACCTCAGCACCTCTGTCTTGATGCTGTAAATGCCCAGCACCTTCTTCCATCAGTTCTCCTCAGTCCCTCCCCTTTCCTTCTCGACAGGGACAGCCTGGTTAGGCCTGGAAAGAAAGCTCTGGTGGCTCTGTCCTTGACGTTGCCATAGCGAGGGAGGGTACTGTCAGTTTGTCCATGACCTCCTGTTACTTTAGCTTTTTCAGAAATGCACAGCAGGGCCCTGTGCACTGGATCTACACACTTGCTTTGCAGGCAGTTGCCCATCTAGCTCCTAGAAGCCAGGGTAGAGAAAGGGAGTAGAGAGCTCTCTATCCCTGGGGACTCGGTTGCTACACTGAGCAGGAGTTGAGTAGGAATTCACCTCCAGAAGACAACTTGCAGTTGTCCAGTATGGCTTCAGGTGGGGGTGAGTTCTGTCAGCTCATCATAGAGGGTAGCTCCACAGAAGGGCGGATAGACAGGGAACTCTCAGGTCCCCTAAAGGTGGTGAAGAGTGGGGCCCTCAAGGGCTGTCTTGGGAAGTCCTTCCAGTTCCAGTGAAATGCACCTGAGATCTCTTTCTCAGGACTGCCGTTTCTCCAGGTACTAACTGGGACAACAACACTTTTTTCCAACTAGGAAGGTCATGTTCCTGGGGTTGTCCGGTGTCACTGCAGCCAGTTCTTATGACTGAAGTATTTCGAGAGGCTTCCATCTCCTTCATTGTGGAACCTCTTAGAAGTGTCCTTCGGGTAGGACTGAGGAAATCTCTCTGGTAACCCTGAGGGCCACAAGGGAAAAATCCTGCTGCTCCTTTTCTTAGGGCTAATGTTGTAGGATGTGGTTCAATCATCAAATTGTACAATAATCTCTGCCCTGAGGAAGAGAATAAATCAATCTCAAACTGACTCTTGACAGACTTAGAGGAGTGGATAGAAAATGCACCAGAGTGCCTGGGGTCTTTTTCCAATTCCTCTGTTAATCCAGGCTCTTGTATGCTTTTGGAGTCTACCTTCCATCTGTGAAAGAAACAATACTACTCTTTCTTGTTTCTGAGTGTTTCTGCTTTTGTGCCCAATGCCACTTTGCTCCTCTGAGTCAGTGTTACTTTTCCAGGTGCAAATGTGGTCAGGGTTTGTCTCTCGGATACAGATAGCAATCAGTCACCACATGGCTTGAAGTTGACAAGTCTAGGGGTTGGGGGGTGAGGGGGGATTTGCCTAGCTTCCAGCTCTGAGGGAATGCAGTGAGAACTGTCACAGATTTCTGCTTCTGGCTCTCCTGGAGGTCCGGTCGGAGGAAGAGGACAGGGTGTGGGAAGCAGGGCAGGGGAAGGCAGAGGACAGGGTGCAGGAAGCAGGACGGGGGAAGGCAGAGGTTTCTCTAGGTAACTCCTCTCCATAGCTCTGGAGGAATACAGCACACTCAGAGGAGCTGCACTGACAGCTGTGGCACTTTGCTCTCCCCTGTGTCACACGTGCAGGCTCAGCACACTCAGCTGCAGTGCGTAGCACCTACTGGAAAACAACAATAGTTTTAACTCCTTGGCATGTCCCCTACAATTCACAGCTTCTTCAGCTTTTCAGAGCTTGATGTGTTCTGGCTAATATGTTAATACTATTGCTTATGGTCTAAGCTCCATGGGAACAGTGTGTGGTCTGAATACCTTATACATTAGCTGAAGGCCAATGTCAAGGGAACCTGGGGTAATGTGGTAATGAATGGTGAGAGCCTTATTCTCTCTCTTTCCTGTCTCCTTGTTCTCTGGGATTCTTTACCTTGTCTCCAGAGGTAGAGAAGCTGGAGGGTGATGGTTCTTTTCCTTTTTTGTAAGATTTTTTATTTATTTGAGAGGCAAAGTTACAGAGAGAGGGAGAGACACAGAGAAAGGTCTTCCACCCACTGGTTCACTCCCCTAAAAGCTGCAGCTATCAGAGCTACCCAAATGGCTGCAATGGCCAGAGCTGGGCCGATCTGAAGCCAGTAACCAGGAGATTCTTTCAGATCTCCCACACGGGTACTGAGGCCCAAGCACTTGGGCCATCTTCCACTGCTTTCCCAGGCCATAAGCAGAGAGCTAGATTCGAAGAGAAGACCTGAGACATGAACAAGTGCCCATATGGGATGCTAGCAGCACAGGCCTTGGAGGGCTTAGCCTACTATGCCACAGCACCAGCCCCGTGATGGTACTTTTCAACTGGTAGGTTTTCAGAGACTAAGTACTCCTCGAATTCAGGAAAACACATCATGACCCAAAGCCTGACGTGAACACAGTCTGGCATAAGGAGCGTGTCCTGGGGCCGGCACTGGTTAATGCCCTGGCCTGAAGGGTTAGCATCCCCTATGGGTGCCAGTTCTAGTCCTGGCTGCTCTACTTCTGATCCAGCTCTCTGCTGTGGCCCGGGAGTGCAGTAGAAGATGGCCCAAGTCCTTGGGCCCCTGCACCAGCATGGGAGACCTGGAAGAAGCTCCTGGCTCCTGGCTTCGGATCGGCGCAGCTCCAGCCATTGGGGCCGATTGGGGAATGAACCAGCAGATGGAAGACCTCTCTCTCTCTCTCTGCCTCTACTCTCTCTGTGTAACTCTGACTCAAATAAATAAAATCTTTTTAAAAAAATAAATAAGGAGTGTGTCCCAGACATGCTTTCCCACAGGGAGCTCAGAGGGTTTTGGTGACGCCCACTCTGTTCTCCTCGCAGTGTATTTCTACAGATTGGTCAGCGGCCTGGGCATCACAGCAGGAGCACATCGCCTGTGGAGCCACCGGTCTTACAAAGCTCGGCTGCCCCTGCGCTTCTTCCTCATCATTGCCAACACCATGGCCTTCCAGGTAAGAAGCTGGCGCTGCTCAGCCCTTGCTTCTCCACCCTCTCGATGGCCTGGGAGCAGAATGGAGGGGTGGGCACCTGGAGAGGAGCTGCGCCGACAGCCCTGGCACTTTGCTCTCCCCTGTGTCACACGTGCAGGCTCAGTCCTGAAGTCCACAACACATGCAGACTGCTCTGAGTTGCTGGGATGGGAAACGGGAGAAGGGAGACGGCTGGGTTGGTTTTGGTCTTCGGGTTCCTATGTGATCACGCAATCTGCTGGTTTTGGTCCTTTATCAATAAGGAACTAAGGAGCATTAGCCAGTGGCCTGCTCTGGTGTCCCGGACAGACACCATACAACAAATTTACTTTTTAACGTTAGGACTCCACCATCATGAGCTTGAAGCCATGTTTAATAAGCTCATGAACAAAGTAAACAAGTAAAGCCAACAGTTTTATAGCACTGACAATGTACCTAGCACTATGGTGAGCACCTGACATAGAAAAACTTGCTAAATCCTTAGAACAATCCTGGGAGGTAGGTATACAATTAACCCCATTTACAAACAAGGAAACTGAGTCACTGAAGAGTTAGACCAAAAAAAAAAAAGTCATAATTCTATCTTGGCTTGCCAGGTTTGCTAAGTAAAATATTGAGGTTTCTTGTGTAAAAATGTTTTAAGGCAGTGACAAAATGAAAGTCCCCTAACTGTTAAGCCATAGAAATGAGCATATGATGTGGTATAGGGCCCAGCTTGGAGCAAGAAGAAAATGGAAACCAAATTAGTCTCCTTAGTTCAAGCAATATCTCAGGTGTTTTCCACACCTGCGTAACTGTCCCTGTCCCAGAACTGGAAGGATCCTGATGTTGTCCTTGGTGGGTAAGGGGAAGGAAGAGAGAGATTGGTACCTTCTTTAAGGGATGTGGGAAGAGTCCCAGAGAAGCCCAGAGGTTCTTGGGCAATGTGGTCACAACCATGATTTACATGCCAGCCTTGGCACTGGGCTGTGTGAGCTGTCTCTTGCCACCAGAATGGAGCCCCTGCAGTTCTATCCCCTGACCAGGACCCTAGCACTACAAGGCGGCCTTGTATCCTCCAGGCCCCAGGATCAGGTGGTCCCTGAGGACCTCTTCCAACCTTCCCTGCTTGCGGAAGTGCAGTGTTCATTCCTAGTGAAACCATCTGGGCTTTGCGTGCTTCACCTCGATTCTACCCACCAGGTCACCTGCAGGGGGCACAGGCACAGCCACGTGGTCCTGGGAGCATGAGTGGCCCTTCCCCTTCAGCCTCAGTGGCAGGGGTGGGGCAGAGGGGAGGCGGCGCCAGGACTCCTCAGGGGCCCAGACTCCTGGGTGTTGTGAGTTGCGCCTGGAAGACACCTCTGCCGACAGTTCTCCTGAGAGGACGTCCGCTCAGGCTGCATCCCTTTCTCTGTCCCTCCAGAACGATGTGTTTGAATGGGCCCGAGACCACCGTGCCCACCACAAGTTCTCAGAAACCGACGCGGATCCTCACAATTCCCGCCGTGGTTTTTTCTTCTCGCACGTGGGCTGGCTGCTTGTGCGCAAACACCCTGCGGTCAAGCAGAAGGGCGCTCTGCTGGACTTGTCAGACCTCAAAGCTGAGAAACTGGTGATGTTCCAGAGGCGGTGAGTGAGGGGCGATGGAGCTGGGGATGTGCTCCCGGCCCCTGGAGCATGGGGACCCCAGTTTTTCTCCAAGGGCTTGCAAGTTCAAAATCACCATTTTTAAACCCCAAATGTTAACATCCCACAGGCCCACCACCATAAACTATGGTACTGGCTCTTCCTCTCTGAGCTACCTTAATTAAACCAACTGAGTACAAGAATTCATTGACGTGGACACATTAATGACCAAAAAATGCATGTAGCTGAGTCCTCACCTTCAAGGAGTTTGTAGTCTAGGAGGGCTGGAGCGGTAAGCCGAGGTCCAAATAGCCATGGGCGCAAGGCAGAACAGTTTCTGAACCACCAGCGGCACAGAAGACAGAGAGGTGGCTTGGCGAAAACTCCAAGGGTTTATGAAGGAAGCAGGATGAGAATGCACTGGGGGACAGGGATGTTCACTAGCGTGTGTGCACAGGGACAGTGCACACAGAAAGAGGACAATGAGCTGCAGCACCCAGGTGTCCCAGCCACGGGTGCTCCTGCTTGGAGGACAGGGGGTGACAGAACCCACACTGCAGACAGACTGTGTCCCTCTTACCGGGTCCTAACGGCAGACCTGGGCTGTGACTCAGGGCGCAACAGGAAAGCACTGACAGGTCTGAGCACAGAGAGGCAGCGTGAGGTCTGCTTCAGAAGGGCCACTCTCAGGACAGGGGCCAGAAAGCAAGGACCAGAGAGGAGAGGCAGGGACAGCAGTTAGGGGGTCAGGGGATCCACGCTGGGGAAGCAGGGGCAGGACTGGGAAGGGCGTGATGCAGTGAGGATGTGACTGCTGAAGGAGGCAGGGAATCACTCTGCCGAGTGGCAGTGGCCGGGTCCCCAGGGAGAAGGAAGAGTGGGACAGGCATCCAGACAGACACACAGGTGATCAGGGCCACTCAGTGCCTCTCTGGGGGCAAAGAAGAGCAGAGAATTAGAGGGCGGTCACAGGAGATGGAGGCATGACACCAAACATTGGACGTGTGCCAAAGAGCTCGATGGGCAAGAGCAAAGAGCCCAAAGGCAGATGGGCATGGGCCCAGGCTGGGGATCTCTGATCCAGAATTGGGGTTTGGACCTCAGCTGTGAACCTACCACCAGGGCCTTGTGTGCAGAGGAAAGAGGCTGTGGACTGGAGCCAGGAGGCAGGCATTCCAATCTGTGCCGTGCTGGTTCCCAGTGACCTCAGAGAAGTCCTGTACCCTCCTCATCTCCCCATCCACAGAGTGAGGGCCTATCACGGCATGCCCAACAGATGCCCACCCCATCTCACAGCAAGGGAGAAGAGGTGGCCCAGCCCAGGGAGCATGGACAGCAGGGGCAGGTCTGGATCCCCTGTGCCCCGGCTCAGCCTGTGATCTCTCCACGCAGGTACTACAAACCCGCCGTCCTGCTGATGTGCTTCATCCTGCCCACGCTCGTGCCCTGGTATTTCTGGGGTGAAACTTTTCGACACAGCTTGTATGTGGCCACCTTCCTGCGTTATGCTGTAGTGCTCAATGCCACCTGGTTGGTGAACAGTGCTGCCCACTTGTATGGATATCGCCCGTATGACAAGAACATTGACCCCCGAGAGAATGTACTGGCTTCTCTTGCAGCCCTGGGTAAGTGAGCAGATCACAGCAAGATCCCATCTAGTGATCTACCTCTGGAACTGTTAGGTTCTAAGTTAGATATAATAGATCAATCTGCTTTTGTGAGTACTTTTTAGCTTAGTTTTTCTACTACAAAGCCAGAGGGGGACCAGGGTTGTAATGCAGTGACCTCAGCACCCCATATTGGAGGGCTGGTTTTAGTCCCAGCCACTCTGCTTCTGATCTTGTTCCCTGTTAATGCACCTAGAAATTCAGTTCTTGGGTCCCTGCCACCCACGTGAGTGATGAGGATGCAGTTCTTACCTCCTGGTTTTAATTTGGGCCCAACCTGGCTGGTGCAGCCATTTGGAGTTGGGGCAAGGGAGGTAGGGGCAAACCAACAAATGGAGAATCTCTCACCATCTCAGCCTCTCTATATTATTCTATCTTTCAAAAAATAAGTAAATAAATAAGTCAATGTTTGAAAACTTAGGGAATAGTACTAGAAGTGCTATATAAAAATGGAAGCGTAACAAAAAATATCCCTCTAGCTTTGTTTCTAAAACAATATCCAAGTGCTAAGCATCATGAGCCCCTTAGAGTTTTCATTTTTCACATTACCTCTGGATGAGGCTACAGTCTTGCAGGGTCACAAGATACACGAATAGAATATTAGAATAATGTGGGTGGCCTATTAGCCTAGTGTTTTATGTTTAAACATGCTGTGTGAAATATAGAACAATTATAGTTTAGCTCAAAAAATGTCAAGTATGCCACAAAGTATTTGTCATCTCCCCACTGTACTCAAATGTGCCATGCTTCCAAGTTCCATGCTTGTTGCTTGCTGATTCCAACAAGAAGGGCATCAGAGCAACACTTGGTATTTCTTTCCTACCACCTCATACCTTGTCCCCTCTTGTCCTTTATTTTTTCTCTCTTCTACTCCTATTGTGTGGTAGGAACTCCCCTTCTCCCAGCATAGCTTAGGTTTCCAACCCTGGCCATATCTACCAGTTTTATTATAAGCATTCTTCCCATCGCTTTTCACTTTCAGGCACCTTTCACCATTGAGTATATTACTTTGATCTATGTTTGAAATAAATCACCTAGATCATAATCTAAGACATTGATAAATACAGAATTTTCTAGACTAAGATGTGTCCTGAATTGCAAATGAAGATTCCTCCATTCCTGCAGGGTTGTGATGCTCAAAGTGACTGTCAACCATCCTACCCTGTCTCAGTTATCATTCACTTCTCCACATCTCCTCCCCATCTCTCCTCACCCTTCGTTCTTCTCTAGCCCTGTTTCTTGTCATTACAACCTTTTTGCTTCTTAAATCACCTCCACCACATGTTCATCTCTTTGCCAAAGCTGACTTCCTTGAGCCTTCCCCTGGCTGTTTCTTACTGTCTTGTTGCAACGGCTTGTTTTCACTCCACACACTAACCCCTCACCTCTTTATTCTTTCCCTTCTCCATGTATCTGTCTGATTTCACTTTAAATCTGGGATCTATAGACTTGGCAAGTACTCACACAGAGTCTTGTTGCAAAACCATATGAGGACATTTAGAATCCCCTGTCAGCTCCCTAGCTTGGCATTATCTCACTGCTGCAGTTTGCATATGAGTTGAGTTTGTCCCTCAAAGGTTGCAGGAAACTTCCTCAGTGTACAGTGGGAGGAGGCAGACCTAGTACAAAGTTCTTGAGTCACTGGGGTTGCTGCCTTTGGAAGCGGTCAGGTATTTCTTGTGGGACCCTGGTTAGTCTTCATGAGAGGCCCACCCAGTCTCTCCAGGCACCTGCTATACAATTTGACATCTCCCTCCCACACCTGCTCCTGCTACTGCAATGCAATCCACCATGATATCCTCACCAGAGCTGAGCCAGTGCTGGCAACTTGCCATTTCATTGCCCTAACTTTAAGCAACATAAACCACTTTTCTTTATAAAGTAATCTAGCATCATGTCTTTCATTACAGTCATGAGAAATTGACCTCCTACTCAGTTCCCACCATGTATAATCAGATGTCATGGAGGAAGAACACACCTTGAGATGTCGTGGATGGGGTCACCTACTTTGTAGGATGCCATCCCTGGCTTCTGATGGGTGTTCTAAGTACTTTATTTGGACACCTATATCTACAAAGAGCCCAACAACCTCTTTGTTAGAATTCTTTTCTTTTTTTCTTCCCAGAAACTTCTTACTTAAGGAATACAAACTTCATACATTTCCTAAGTACAACTTTAGGAACATGGTGATTCTTCCCACTGTACCTGCCCTCCCACCCACACTCCCACCCCTCTTCCTCCTCGCTGTCCTATTCCCATTCTTATTTTGTACTAAGATCTATTTTCAATTAACTTTATACACATGATTAACTCTATGTTAAGAGTTCAACAAATAGTATGAAAAAGAAAACTGTTCCTCAACAGTTGAGACAAGGGCTGTTCAAAGTCATTGCTGTCAAAGTATCAATTTCACTTCTATAGATTGCCTTTTAGGTGCTCTGTTAGTTCTTGCAAGTCAGGGAGAACATATGGTATTTGTCCTTTTGGACTGGCTTCTTAAAAAAAAAAGATTTATTTATTTATTTGAAAATCAGAGTTACACACCGAGAAAGAAGGAGAGGCAGAGAGAGAGAGAGAGAGAGGTCTTCCATCTGCTGGTTCACTCCATAACTGGCCACAATGGCCAGAGCTGTGCTGATTCGAAGCCAGGAGCCAGGAGCCTCTTCCAGGTCTCCCATGCGGGTGCAGGGGCCCAAGGTCGTTGGCCATTTTCTACTGCTCTCCCAGGCCATAGCAGAGAGTTGGATCAGAAGTGAAGCAGCCAGGACTTGAACCAGTGCCTGTATGGGATGCCAGCACTGCAGGCAGCGGCTTTACCCACTACACCACAGCACCAGACCCTGGACTGGCTTATTTCACTATATATGATGTTTTCCAGTATCATCCATTTTGTTACAAATGACCAATTTTTTTTAACCATTGTGTAGTATTCCATGGTGTACATATCCCATAAATTCTTTATCCAGTCTTCAGTTGATGAGCATTTGGGTAGATTCCATATCTTAGCCATTGTGAACTGAGCTAAAATAAATATAGGGGTACAGATAAATCTTTCATATGCTGATTTCATTTCCCTTGGGTAAATTCCCAGGGGTGGGATGGTTGGGTCATATGGTAGATCTATATTTAGATTTCTAAGTATCTTCATACTGTCTTCCATAGTGCCTTTACCAGTTTACATTCCCACCAACAGTGGATTAGGGTGCCTTTTTACCCACATCCTTGCTACCATTGTTGTTTGTTGATTTCTATATGAAGCCATACTAAAGGGGGTAAGGTGAAACCTCATTGTGCTTTTGATTTACATTTCCCTGATCCTGAGCATTTTTCATATATCTGTTGGGCATTGGATTTTTGTTAGCATTCTTTATGCTGGCCTGACAAGGGTTACTATTTTATAGCTGGATGGGACTCAGAAAGAAGAGTCCTGCAAGGCCGGCGCCGTGGCTCAATAGGCTAATCCTCCACCTTGCGGCGCCGGCACACCGGGTTCTAGTCCCGGTTGGGGCACCGGATTCTGTCCCGGTTGCCCCTCTTCCAGGCCAGCTCTCTGCTATGGCCAGGGAGTGCAGTGGAGGATGGCCCAAGTGCTTGGGCCCTGCACCCCATGGGAGACCAGGAAAAGCACCTGGATCCTGGCTCCTGCCATCGGATCAGCGCGGTGCACCAGCTGCAGCGGCGGCCATTGGAGGGTGAACCAACGGCAAAAGGAAGACCTTTCTCTCTCTGTCTCTCTCTCTCACTGTCCACTCTGCCTGTAAAAAAAAAAAAAAAAAAAAAAAAGAAAGAAGAGTCCTGCCAAGAAATGGCCAACTCTCTCTACACAGAGGTTCCAAACCTTTACTACTAGATAAATGTTCTCAATCCGGAATCTCTTATTTCCCTCTATCCATTCAAGTGAAATACTATTGCCAAAAGTTTTCAGACTTTCAGAGATTAGAGGGAGTATCTCAGCAATTGTATCTTCCCTCATCAAGGAGTTTGTTATATCTTCTTTCCAAAGAGAATGTCTATCTTATCAGCACCACCCCCAGCCCAGTCAAAGCTGGAAGAATGAGAAGGCAGAGCAGCCCACTCTGCGCCAGCAGAGGCTGAGGAAACCGCAGCCCTGGGCTGGCCTCCTGTCCTCTATGTTTGGCCACTGCCTCCTGTTCCATTGGAAGCTCCCACCCTTATGGTGGTGCCGCTGCTGTGGGGAAGGCGGGTCCTCTGCTCACTTGTAACAGCAGAGCCCAAGTTCCTCATTCTGGACTCTCCCCTCTGCACCCCAGCACACGTACACACACAGCCTTTCAGGCCTTGGGTCAATGCTTCCTGAAGCTCTGGAGGTTGCCAACCGACACTGCATTCTCAGCAGTAGTCCCTGCTCCACAGTCAACTCACACATGCTCTGAGAAACCAAGTAGGGGTGACAACGGCCTCATCTATCATTTCTTAAGGTGCTTTGGGGAGGATCCACTTGCTATAGAGTAAGAGACCAGATCCATCCCTCTGTCCATTCTACAGCAGCATATTTCTGCTGGGTTCCAGGAACACTGCTAGGAAGACAGGAATCCACCCAAGCTCCATGACATTTCTCCTTGCTTTTGTTGCAGGTGAGGGCTTCCACAACTACCACCACTCCTTTCCCCACGACTACTCAGCCAGTGAGTATCGCTGGCACATCAACTTCACCACATTCTTCATCGACTGCATGGCTATCCTGGGCCTGGCTTATGACCGGAAGAAAATATCCAAGGCTGCCATCTTGGCCAGGATTAAAAGGACTGGAGACGGAAGCTACAAGAGTGGCTGAGTTTTGGGTTCCTCAACTTCTTTGCCAAAAGCTAGCCAGGCAGAGGTTCACTATTCTGCTTATTAGTTACTGAATAATGCTCCCAGGATGCTAAAGATGATGACTGTAACCCATTCTAGTACAATAGTCTTTCAAAAATGTAAAAGTGCTATAAGCCAACAACCTCAGGCTTCTGATTCTAAGCTGATAATCTTATTTTGTCTGTTGTCATCTTCCTCTTCTAGTCTTGTTGTCCTTTTCTTTCTTTGGTCTCATCTCCTTCCTTTCTCTTAGACCTCACTGCCCTCTAGGAAACAGCTGCTCAGTCATCAGTTGGTATCCACCTTCAAAGCCCTAGACAACATTTCTGGAATCTAAAAATTATGGTCTTATTCCAGATAACTCTGTCTTTGTGTTGCCCCACTGTCTGGAGCTTGAAGGTAAGTGACTCAAGCTAGAGACAGAACAAAATTTCTAGATAGTCCCCAATTAATTATGCTTAGCCTAGGCATTGCTAGATGGAATGAAAAAAAAATAACTTTATTAGGCACACAACTTGTATAAAAGGTGAACTGTCAGTGGAGAGGTTAGCTGCCATGGTATGACTGGTAGGTAAGTGAGGGTGGGATCAAGGTGGGAGGTGAGTAGAGGAGAAAGTCTTGCTCTGATAAGACACACAGCTTTCTTCTTCCACACAGCACATTATCTTTCTCTCATGACTATGAGTACGAGTGGCCTGGAGCCCGGCATTGGTAGCACAAACGAGCAAATCTCAGTGCCTCAGCAGACTCTGGGCAGAGGTTAAAGAAGCATTTAGGGGCTGGCGCCATGGCTCACTTGGTTAATCCTCTGCCTGAGGTGCCGGCATCCCATATGGGCACTGGGTTCTAGTCCCGGTTGCTCCTCTTCCAGTCCAGTTCTCTGCTGTGGCCTGGGAAGGCAGTGGAGGATGGCCCAAGTGCTTGGGCCCCTGCATCCACATGGAGGACCAGGAGGAAGCACCTGGCTCCTGGCTTCAGATGGGCGCAGCGCGGGCCGTAGCGGCCATTTGGGGGGTGAACCAACAGAAGGAAGACCTCTCTGTCTGTAACTCTACCTGTCAAATAAATAAATAAAGCAGCAGCATTTAGTGTGTAGTAAAACTGCTCATGGCTAGGGAAGGGATTCTTATCTTTAATAACAAGGAGATTTCTTATTTCATGGAACAAGAAGTCTTGAGGTTTGGTGTGTCTAGAATTGGTGACTATCACACTTCATAGAGTTCTGAGGATTCCCTGAGCTGCTCATCAAAATTATTTTTGGTTTCTGCTCTGCTACCTTTGGGATATTGGTTGCTTCCCTCATAGTAATAAGGTGGCTGTGGCATTTCCAAACATCTCAAATTGGAAGGCTATTGGGAGCTGGAATGTGGTTAAACAAAATATGTAGACACCTATGCTTTCCTATCAAAGAGGAGGAACACTGAGAGGAGGAATTAGCTGGTGGTCTATACTGTTCTCTCACCCTCTCCCTTCTCCTACTGCTAAGCAGGAGACGGTGAAGGCAGATCTCTAGGTGGCTCCTAGAAGACAACTTTTTTTTCTCTTTAAAAAGATAATCTTAATATTCTTCCTGACAAAATCAGTTATGTGTACTAAATCAGAACTAAATCTTAATATTGAGTTTCATCAAACCCTTTGCTAATTCATACACTAAAAAGAAATAAAATTTAAAAGAATAAAGATGGGGCCAGTGCTGTGGCATAGTGGGTTAAGTTGCTGTCTACACCACCAGCATCCCACATGGGCACCTGTTTGAGTCCTGGCTATTTCACTTCTGATCCAGTTCCCTGCTAATGTGCCTGGGAAAACAGTGGAAGATGGGCCAAGTGTTTGGGCCCTTGCACGCACATGGGAGACCTGGAAAAAGCTCCTGGTTTCTGGCTTCGGCCTGGCATAACCCCAGCTGTTGCAGCCATTTGGAGAGTTAACCAACAGATGGAAGACATCTCTCTCTTTCTCTTTCTCTTTCTCTCTCTCTACATTTCAAATAAAAAAAATCTTAGAAAAAATAAAAGAATGAAGATTCTTTAACAGATAATCCATTTTGATATTATTATTTCTTAGTGCCCTACTAAGTTGTTTTGAAACTCTAGATAGTTTAATATTCTCATGAAATTAGTGTTTAAATAAACTTGACTTTCACTCAAATTGTTTTGTTCTTATTTATAATGATTTTTACAATTTTTAGGTTAAATTCAAAGGTTTATACTCACAAATGAGGCTAATTTGTCTCTAATACATAAATAATTCATTTTCTTATCTTTACTCTAGATAAAGCCACAAATGGAAATATTAATTTAACAAAATGAAGTTTCCTTTTTTGGTTCTTGATGTTTGAGGTTTATCAAGGTTCTATACAATAGGGCACTAAATTTTGGGACTAGCTGAAAATGATCTAAGATTTCCTCTAGTAAACATTATTTAAGTCACAAAAACAAAAGAAAAAATAATGAGTTGATTCTAGAACAACACCTCTAGTGACAAATGAATAGGTCTTAGTTTTAAAGAAAGCATTTAGCTACATAAAACTTGGAGGGGAAAATGGCCATATTTGAAAACAGCTACAAGGATCAGCACAGAACACAGGATTGTAATTAACAGAGTCATAAAACATAGTAAAGAGGCATGAACTGTCAGTCCTGCTGGAACATGCAGAGTCACATTCTCATATCCTGATTTGTACTTCATATTGTGCCATTGGCAGATATCCTCATTCTCCACAGCACAAAGAGCTGCCACTTCTGACTGAGCCCAGCATTTCAAAATTGGAAACTCTTGGTCACAATCCATCAGCAAATCTGGGTTACTGACCACAATAAAGGTTTCTCCATCTTTACTATGTGGCCAATGATAGCAGTGGTACACAGGCAAAAAAGCTGGGAAACAGTCAACATATTATGAATCTTGTCTGGCACATAAATGAGAACTTCAGGATGCCTTGGACAGATAGTTAGGAGCGTCTATATTAAAATTTTATGAAAGCATCACTACCTCTGTTATGCTTCTCTCTCGTAATGAAGCCAATTCATATGAATCTACAAAAAGTCCTGTTGGGATTTCCTGTTTAATTAAAGAGTCTGGGCCCAGGATCCCCAGGATGTCTGTGGCCTTTGTACCTGACTGGCTGAGGGGCAGTGTGGAAGTCAATTGAGAGACCATCCATCGGCTCCTGGAAGAGAATGACCAGCTCATCCGCTGTATCATGGAGTATCAGAATAAGGGCCAGGTGAATGAGTGTGTCCAGTACCAGCATGTGTCACATAGAAATCTCATTTATCTAGCTACCATTGCAGATGCCAGCCCAGCCAGTACTTCAAAAGCAGAATAATGTTCCAGTTGGCTGTTGCGAAGAGAACTTGAACATAATCCACTTCCTACAAAATGGAGACAGGATCTTTACCAACTCAACTGCCCAAAATGTGAAAGAAACCTCTGTGGCTCTTTTAAAAATATGAAGAAGGTTACTAATGTAACAGTGTCCTCAGTGTAAATACTTATTTTAATAATTAAGCAGATCTCTCAATAGACTGGCTCAGACATCCTTTCCTGAAATGAAAGCATGTTTAGGGGCTGGTGCTTGGCACAGCGGGTTAACGCTCTGGCCTGAAGTGCCGGCATCCCATATGGGCGCCGGTTCTAGTCCCGGCTGCTCCTCTTCCAATCCAGCTCTCTGCTACGGCCTGGGAAAGCAATAGAAGATGGCCCAGGTCCTTGGGCCCCTACACCGATGTGGGAGATCTGGAAGAAGCTCCTGGTTCCTAGCTTCAGATCGGTGCAGCTCTGGCTGTTTGCAGTCATCTGGGGAGTTAACCAATGGATGGAAGACCTCTCTCTGTGTCTCTACTTCTCTCTGTAATTCTGTCTTTCAAATAAATAAAATAAATCTTTAAAAAAAAAAAAAAAAAGCTGGCGCCATGGCTCACTTGGCTAATCCTCCGCCTGCAGCGCCGGCACCCTGGAATCTAGTCCCGGTTGCTCCTCTTTCAGTCCAGCTCTCTGCTGTGGCCCGGGAGGGCAGCGGAGGATGGCCCAAGTGCTTGGGTCCCTGCACCCGCATGGGAGACCAAGAGGAAGCACCTGGCTCCTGGCTTTGGATCGGCGCAGCGCCAGCCGTAGTGGCCATTTGGGGGGTGAACCAACGGAAGGAAGACCTTTCTCTCTGTCTCTCTCTCACTGTCTATAACTCTCTCTCTGTCTCTCTCTCTCACTGTCCAACTCTGCCTGGCAAAAAATTAAAAAAAAAGAAATGAGAGCGTGTTTGGATAACAAACACAGTGAACATCTTCAAGGCTACATTTTTGTTCCAGCCTAAGAAATTTCAATTGAGTGTTGGGTGATCAGCCCCAACCAATCACAGCCTGTTGCCAGGCAGTTTCCAAAGCCATCCAATCACAGCCTGTTGCCAGGCGGTTTCAAATCCATCCAATCACAGCCACTGGCAAGCGAGTGTCAGTTACTCAGGAATGGCTTTGAAACCCACCTGGCAACGGAGCCTGCCTGGCAACAGGCTGTGATTGGATGGCTTTGGAAATTGCCTGGCAACAGGCTGTGATTGGATGGATTTGAAACTGCCTGGAAGCAGGCTGTGATTGGATGGCTTTTTAAACTGCCTGGCAACAGGCTGTGATTGGTTGGGGCATAGACCGCCCCTTGACCAGATTGGCTGGTCTTGGCTATATAAGATGTTGTACCAACTGAAATAAACGAGTCTGCGGGCTGCTCGCCTCAAGCCTGCTTTCACCTGACTCCCCGGGGTCTGTGACTCCGCGCCTCTTGCCCCCATCACACTGCTCCTCTCAGAAAGGAATCCACTGCAACATTGTTGAGAAATCAATGGCAACAACTTAACAAAAAGTATAATGTGCCTCACTTTTCCTTTTGTTAAAATGGGCATAATAATGCTGACTCACATTAAAAGGGCAATTTCTGAGGCATGACTGATTTTTTAGTAAAGCATCTGGTATCCTTCAGCAGGGGAATTCACAAGTCCTAGGTATTCCCACAGTAGCTGTAACCACCACAAAATCCAAATGCTATAAGAGATTGAATGTATCCACTGGATAAGTGATGGATAATTAAAGAAGACATGAGAACGCATCCTCAGTGCCATGAGAACAGTGCAGGACACATTTTCTTTGCTTGGTGGATTTCCCCTTCTTTATGTGGGACAGGAGTTATCTGTGACCTAAGTATAATTTTGCAATAACTTCTATTCCTGGCAACTCTGAGGCTAGTTGTACTGATCTGGCACTGTGCTGGTTCACAATAAAAGGGAAATGAATACAATTGCACCATGTCTGTGAGTTTTGTGGCTGTGATTCAGGCTCCTGGGACCTGCCTCTATGGCCTATCTTCCTGCCTATGTGCTGTGCCTTTAAAAGTAAAAAAGAAGTGGAACCTAAGGGTTGACTCATACCTAGGAACC